CTATTACAACCATATTGAATTTGAATAAATGCACAAGGCAAAATGGAAAAAGGAAATGACTTGTTTTGTTTTGTTTTGAAAAGGTTTTTATCCTAATAAACTAAAAGGAAATAATTAGTTAATAAAAGAAATTTAAACTAATTTAATTTTAAAAAGGAAAATATTTTTTGTGTCCTTTTTTATAAAAATAAAAATAATACTGATGATAATAAAAAAGAAAATAAGAAAGAAAAGATAAAATAAAGAAAATAAGTCAGGGGTGAAAGTTGAATTTGAGTAGTTTTTGTGTAGAAAATAGTTTTGTGTTTGGGATCAAGGACTATTTATTAGTTAATAAACAGGGGGTCAGAAAATGAAATCGATGCCCAAACCAAGTTAGGCCCAGGCGTGCTTCCTGCAAACAAAACAGATGTGAGAAAATAAGGGAAAATTACCAAAAGCTCTGGCTGGGGGTTTCAAACCCAGGACCTTCGACATGGTAAGGCTTTAGCACGCGCTGTTTGTACCACTGGGGTGGTCTGTTTCATCCATTTATGAGATGACTTCAGTCAGATGTAAAGTGAATTTGTTTCTGGGTGTCGAAATGCCCAGCTTCTATAGGCCATGATGATTGGATTGGCAGACTTCTAAAGTCTCCATTTCTCAATCGAAACAAACAAAATAAAAACATCAAATCGAACTAAAACTTGAATATGAATCGAAACGCGCAAATTTCAAAAAGCCATGGGTTGATGGCTAGCATAAATTTGTTCAGTATCAAAACTAAAACCTAACTATACCAGCAATGATAATTGAAACTATGGTCAGCATGATATCTACATTTTTTCGAATAATGCTTGAATGAAAAGTTCCGAGTTTGAAGAAACTTACCTCTTGGAGTGAAACTTAAAGGACTTCGACAGAACCTCTGAGAATGGTTTGATGATGGGCTTGCTTCGACCTCCATGGAGCTATTTCAGTTGTTACTTTGCTTTGAAAATCACTTGAATCGAAGGTTGGCATGTGGTATTTAGGAGTGAATCAAAGGTTGGTATATGGAAGTTAGAAGTCAATCGAAGGGCTCACTAACTTCCTTGAGTGGGTTTTTTTAGGGCTTTGGAAGTGTTCCAAGGCTGGTATATGGAAGTTGGGGGAGAATCGAAAGAATCACTAACGTATAAAGGGATTTGAGATTTTTGAGAGTTTGAGAGTTTGAGAGTGTTTGAGAGTGTTTGAAGATTTTTTCCAACACCAAAAGTCTCTTCAGCTCCCGAAAACTTTTTCTTTTTTTAGATGTGTTGTGGAACATCTTATTTATAGAAGAGTTTAGCTGAGATTTGAGGGGGAAAACAAATGAGATTTGAAAAAATTTAGTATGATGTCTTCATGGCCTTCGAGGTGCAGCTCTTTGTATGCCAATTTGGTGCAAATATGGAAGCAGCATAGCAGGACTGCTTTGCAGCAATTTTGAAGTGTTATGGCCAGTACAACAGGCCTGGGCTTGGAAGCACATAGGACTTTGGTCAGCAAGCATCTTTAATATAACTCATCAAAAGACAAAACAAAACTTGTTTCCAACAATTGTGTCCTTCGAATGGACCACATGTGTGTTCTTCGAGTGGACCATACACACCACTTGTGTGTTCTTCGAATGCACCCCTTGTAATTCTTAGAATAGGCCATCAATGTATGTCCTTCGAATCCACCAAATTCATGTTCTTCGAATGGACTTTTTGAATGTTTCTTCGAATGGACCATATTGTGTGTCATAGTGTAGAAACTATGTGTGTTGAAGGGTTTAGAGGTGGAGTCAAAGCTAGCATGAAGGAAGCCACTGCTTTGTGAATCGAAGCACGCATGAAAGAAGTACTTGCCTTGTGAATCGAAAACAAGCATGAAGCAAGTACTTGCCTTGTGAATTGAAGGCAGACATGAAGGAAGTATTTTCCTAGTGAATTGAAAACAAGCCTGAAGGATGTACTTGCCTTGTGAATCAAAAGCAAGCCTGAAGGATGTACTTGCCTTGCGAATCAAAGGTAGGCATGAAGGAAGTATTTGCCTAGTGAATTGAAAGCAAGCTTGAAGTATGTACTTGCCTTGTGAATTAAAAGCAAGCCTGGAGGATGTACTTGCCTTGTGAATCAAAGGCATGCATGAAGGAAGTATTTGCCTAGTGAATCGAAAGCAAGCCTGAAGGATGTACTTGCCTTGTGAATCGAAAGCAAGCCTGGAGGATGTACTTGCCTTGTGAATCAAAGGCAGGCATGAGGGAAGTATTTACCTAGTGAATCGAAAGAAAGCCTGAAGGATGTACTTGCCTTGTGAATTGAAAGCAAGTTGCTTCAAAGGAATCCTTTTCCTTGTGGAAGCTTGGGAATCGAAGCAAACTTGCTCTTTCTTCGATTTGATGCTTGAGAGACCAATATGACTATATGGGGCATTAAAAATCCAATTGTACATGAGCTTTTGGAAATCTTTGTGAGAAATATCTTGAGGAAAGAGAGGGCAATTTTTTTGGTACAACAGACACCTTAAAACTAAAGGACTTAACATAGTAACATAAGAAATGGTACATGTAAGTTCGCCTTTCACTTCATTTATATAGAAAGTAGAGAATCACTTTCATGTTAAGTTGAATTCATTATCTCTTATAAGCATGCTCTATAGCTAGAATGATACATGTAAGCTCGTCTTAAAAAAGGACATCATACCCTTTTTTCCTGAGAATGCACCTAAGTAGCTTCCCAATGAATCACGAAAGTATTTATCCAAAAGTTGCAAGTTTAGGATTACCTCGAGATTCCACATCTATGTTACATTTAATCCAATAAAGTTATGGTTATTTCCAATTGATTTTCTCACACTACTATAAAACACGCAAACAACAATACCCAAGTCATCACGTCAAAGGATACACCGTGGTAGAATCTACTAAACTAGGCGTATTTTTTTTATTTTCATATTTAAGCTACTTTTCTCCACGGTTGGAAGTTCCAACTGTAGTAAAAAGTGGCACATGGTCCTGAGTTCGAATCTTGATGTTGTTGTTATTCTACTGTTGTATTTTTTATATTTTATTAAAATAAGTACAACAATGTTATTTAATACAACTGTTATTGTATGTAGCGCGCATGGTTATAAGTTCGAATCTTGTTGTTGTTGCTTTTCTAGTGCTTTATTTTTTATATTTTATTAAAATACATATCACAACAGTTATTTAATACAACAGTTTTTGTATGAAGCGTATTTATTGAGTTTCTTCACCATCCTTAAATAAATCTCAACCGTCCATTACAGTTACTATCTACGCTCATGACACCACTGTTAGGGATCCGCATGAAACCTAAAACTTAGACAAACTTCCAACTTAGAAGAACTTCATCTTCTACCTTCAAACATCATCTTTCATTTATGACACTCTATTTTTCCATTAAACCAAGCCTGAAGATATCATTTCTTCCATAAGCAAAACTCAAAAGTAGCATTTCTTTAATTTCTAAATTTCAAAACTCCCTCACTTATTCTCCATCTTGAATTAGACAAGGAAAGTATGGATTCAAGTTAGCAACGTTGGTTGTTGTTCTTATTGTTCTTTTTTTTAGTTATTGTTGTTGATCTTGTTATTCTTGTTCTTATTCTTGTTGTTTTTATTGTTGTTTTTGTTATAATGATAATATAGTGCTCAAGTGTTTATGAATATGAGATGAATTTTTCTGGACTGATATGGAAACCAATGTAGAAAAATTCTTTGGGAAAGTTCAAGAATCAAAACACTATGTGTGAAATTTGAATGAATATAATGATGTTAAATTTCAATGGAAGAGGTGAGTTTTGAATTCTGAAAATAAGAGTATATATAACACCTTAACACCTCTTTGAATGTGTGTGTTTTAATGAAAAGAAGCAATGGTTAAGGGAAGTGTTTTCCAAAATGTTCAGATTTTAAAACAGACTGAAAACCCCACTGCCAACTCAGAAAATCAATTTCCAAATATGTGGTAATCGATTTCCCCTAAAATGTTGCAACTCATTTTTCAAAAAATCATGAAGGAAATAGATTTCCATAATAGGGAAAATCGATTTCCATAAATGAAAATTGTTTTCTGGAAAATGCTAGAAGGCTGGTTTATGAAGAGGAAATCCATTTCCTATATAGGGGTAATCGATTTCCTGAACTTAAATTTGAAAAATAATTTGCTTTTCAGCCAGAAACAGTTTTGAAACTTTAGTAAAACCATGTCATGCATGAAAGTGAAAATGAAGACATATTTTGACCACTAAGCTATCAATGTAATTGCATGCTTGTACCTCTAATTCTCAAGATCCATGCTAGTCTTTAAAGTAGAATTCTTGGGTAATTTGTTGCTAGCTTTCAATATGATAAGTCTTGCACTTGAGGATTTTTCCATAACTTTTGACAAGAACATTTGAATTCTACTTTGTAATTTGTCTTCATCAAAACACATTAGATGGAAAGTCTTGAATTCACATTCTCCCCATTTTTAGATGATGACAAACACTTGAAGCTTTATGATCAATGTTTCCTTTAGCAATGATTTCTCCCCCTTGATCCATGCATCCATGTTATAAGAGTTGCTTTACAATTTAAGGCTTGCTGCATATTTTATTAGATAAAGAAATACCAAAATAACATAATAACTTCTCCCCCCTTTATCATTAGCAAAAAGGATGGGAAACATTTCAAGATTGAAACATTAAGCATAATAACAAAGTATAATCTATCAAATAAGGCATAGAGAAACCATAGCATAACTATCAACCACAACATAAGACTTGAAAACATAACATAACACATTAAGTCTTGAACAAACAAATAACAAAAACTACAAGGAAATAAATTATCTTAGAGATCATAAACATAAAATTAAACATAGACAAGATATTGAAAGAAAGCATAAACAAATTATACATAAACATATTTATTCACTTTCATCCATTTCGTCACTCTCCTCGTTCTATTCTTCCTCTTACTCTTCTTCATCCTCACTTTGGTGACAATTTTAATGTTTGATAAAGTTAAGGTCATCACGAATAACACTAAGTTCGGACGAGTGACGGAGGTCCATCTCATGCAATTTTTTATATAGAAACTCCATGGTATATCCATCTTCAGGAGCGAGACGAAGAGTATACACATTTTCCACATCTGTATGCTTGAAAATTCCATCAACATCCTTAAATATTTCCATATTCTTCAAGCAATTTCTAATAGTAACTATGCTTGTCTTTCCCATTTTCTTTGACGGTTCCCGATGTAAGCTAATTCCACATTTTCCAAAATCTTGGTAATTTCTCTAGCATAAGGATAACCACTTGTTAAGAGCCTTTGGAGTATTCCATGTGTCGGAGAATAACATATTCCCAGTTGATGTTCATATTGTTCTTCATAGAAAAGAGAAGCATCATTTCCATACAACCAATTTTAGTGTAATTGTTCCCTTTTGGAACAAGCACATAAGCTAGAAAGTAATGAAGCATATTATCACTTACTGACAAATTTTTACTCACACAAACAATTTGGTAGAGGAGGAGCGAGCTTGTCGGGCATAAAATTCTAGTTGTGAAATTCTAAAAATGATAAAGAAATAATTCATCTTATTGTAATATTCCCATCCAGGAGTGTCGGGGGCAAAGCCACGAACAATTCTAACACCTTTAGAAGGAATACCTAAGAAAGTACCAAGTTCTACCAAAGACATAGTAATTGCAGTACCTCTAATTTATGAGCTAAAAGAACAACCCAAATGTATAATAAGGTGAGCATAAAAAACTCTAATCAAATCTGGATAATACAGCCTGAATCAGATACAATGTCCATAATCCCTTTAGTTTCTAATAAAGTAGGAAAATTGAAACTTGTAGCCGAAAAAGTTTCAAGTTTACCAAAATTTGGAAGGAGAATAGCCCTTTGTATGAAGTTTTCCAATAACCTTCTCTGCTTCACAGTAGTTTGAACTTGCTCTGTGTCAGTCATTAGCATTGGAGCTTTAATCAATCTTTGCATTTCCCCTTGAATGTCTTGGAGGTGCCATGGAAGAGCTTAGAGGAGTTTGGTTTTGTAAGGGCTTTTTCATTTATTTATTTTTTGCTTTTGAGTGAGAATAAATGATTTTGCAAAATAGCTTATTTGAGTTTAGGTGAGAGAGAATTAATATATAATGGTTTTATGATAATGATATTTAAAGTGGATTGTGTTGGTAATTGGAGAAATTTTAGTGGGTAGTAAATGATAGGTGTCAATGGGTTTGAGTTCCAAGGAGAGAAGATGGAAGATGAGAGAGATAAACGTTTGACTAGCAATTAAAACAAACAAACAACTTAAATGAAAAGATGAAAAAATAAAACAAAATTTCATACAGAAAATCGATTTTCCATACAGGGGTAATCGATTTCCACCATATAAAACACACTTTCCAGAGGCCAGGGAGTGAAAAAATTATCTTAGGAAATCGATTTTTGGTTTTGGGGTAATCGATTTCCGCATTAAAATTTTGCCAAATACAAAAATTAGTGGCGTTGTAACATGAAATTTAGCATACATAAACCCATAAAAAGTCACATAACATTTCTATAACATGTTTAGGCATCATGTGATCATATATTTTCATACAAAAACATATTATATAATAGTTTTATAGATGAATTTGAGGAAAAATTTATGAAATTTTAAGTAAATAAATATGTGTACCATTTATCATACGTCATTTTCTACCAAAATTCCCATTTCTCTCTGAATTTTGAAGAAAGTTTCTCGTGCCAAAGCTTTTGTGAATATGTCTGCAAGTTGATTATGAGTTTCTATCAAAGTAACTTTGACATCTCCTTAAAGCGTGTGATCACGAAGAAAATGATATCGTATGTCAATATGTTTGGTTCTTGAGTGCATGACCGAATTCTTTGTAATATTAATCGCACTTGTGTTATCACAACATAGAGGGATGCATCCTAAATCGAGTATGTAGTCATGAAGTTGTTGCTTAAGCCAAAGTATTTGTGCACAACAACTACTTGCTGCTATGTATTCTACTTTTGAAATGCTAAGAGCAACACATGCTTGTTTCTTGCAATCCCAAGATACTAATGCATTTCTGAGAATATGACATGTACCACTAGTGCTTTTTCTATCAGTTTTACATCCTGCATAATCCGCGTCAAAATAACTAATTAAATCGCATTACTACCTTTTGGATACCATAAGCCGATATTTTATTTATTATTCCTTTGAGATACTCCATGATCCTTTTTACCGCCATTGGAAGAGATTCCTTTGGGTTTGCTTAAAGGAGAGCACAAAGACATACACTAAACATAATGTCATGATAGCTTTCCATCAAATATAAAAATGAACCAATCATACCTCGATATTTTGTAATATCAATGGAAACACCAGATTCATCTTGATCTACATATGTACCGGATGCCATTGGAGTAGCTATCTCTTTGCAACTATCCATATCAAATATTTTCAACAACTCTTTGTAATACTGGATTGATTGGTGAAGATGCCATTCATTAATTGCTTAATTTGTAGTCTAAGAAAATAGTTCATCTTACCCATCATAAACATTTTGAATCTCCTTGCATCATCAATGAAAATTTTTCACATGGATCTTTGTTTGTTGAACCGAATATGATATCGTCAATGTAGACTTAAACCAATAAAGTATAACATTCGATTTTATTAATAAATAAGTTTTTATCAACTTTACCTTTTTCAAATCCTCTTTCGCATAGAAAGTTTCTAAATACCATGCTCTTGGTGCTTGTTTAAAGCCAGAAAGAGATTTCTTCAACTTAAAGACATGTGAAGGATTCTTGAAGTCTTCAAAACCAGGAAGTTGTTTGACATAAACTTCCTCATTGATATATAAATTCAAGAAAGCACTCTTGACGTCCATTTGAAAAAGCTGAAAATTTAATGAACAAGTATAAGCAACTAATAAATGAATAGCTTCTAACCTTGAAATCAGAGAGAATGTTTCTTCAAATTCGATTCCTTCTTCTTGATTATAACCTTGAGCCATCAATCTTACTTTGTTTCTAACAATTGTACCATTCTCGTCAAGCTTTTTTTTAAAACCCATTTGGTACCTATGATGTGTTTATCACTTGGCCTAGGAACAAGTTCCCAAACTTAATTTCTTTTGAATTGATTTAATTCCTCTTGCATAAAAATAATCCATTGATCATCTCTTAAGGCTTCATCAATCTTGGAGGGTTCTACTTGAGAAATAAATGCCATGTTCAAGCAAGCATCATTGAGAATTAGTCTTGTTGAAACTCCTTTGCTTATGTCACCAATTACTTTGTCAATAGGATGATCACGATTGGTTCTCCATTCTTGAGAAAGTTCACTATGATTTGTAACTTATTGTGAAAATTGTTGTTGGTATTCCGGTTGTTTCACACTTTAATCGATAGAAACTTCTTTTGAGGGTAATTCTATAATATCATCATCATCACAAATAACTATGTCCTCTTTAGAGGTGTCAGTTTCATCAAAAGAAACATGCATAGATTCTTCAATAGTTAAAGTTATTTTATTATAAATTCTATAAGCTTTACTAGAGAGGGAATAACCAAGAAATATACCTTCGTCGGATTTCTCGTCAAACTTACCGAGATTTTCTTTGTCATTGTTTTAGGACAAAACACGTTCACCCAAAGATGTGAAAGTGAGCAATGTTTGTCTTTCTTCCTTTGAAGAGTTCATATGAAGTCTTTTTCAAGATAGGTCTAATAATGACTCAATTTCGAACATAACATGTCGTACTAACCGCATCCATCCAAAAGTACTTTGGTAGATTTGAGTCACTAAGCATTATTGTTGCAAGTTCAACTAGAAATCGGTTCTTTATTTCAACTACTCCATTTTGTTGTGGAGTCCTTGGTGCTAAAAAATTATGAGAAATACCTAGTTCTTCATAAAATTCTTCAAAAAATGAGTTTTGGAATTCTCCACCATGGTCATTTCTAATTGATACAATCTTTAATTACTTTTCATTTTGAATTTGCTTTGCATACTTCTTAAAAGCCTTTAAAGCATCACTTTTATGCACAAGGAACAAAGTTCAAGAATATCTATAAAAATTATCAACAATAATTAAGGCATATACATTACCTTATAAGCTTCTTGTTATTAATGGACCAAATAAGTCCATATGCAACAATTGAAGTGGTCTTGTTGTTGATATCACATTCTTTGATTTGAAAGTTTATTTGGTTTTTTTCCCTTTTGACAAGCATCACATAATTTATCCTTGACGAACTTTATATTGGGTAAACCAATGACAAGATCATGTTTGGCTAGTTTATTTAAATGTTCCATATGAATATGGGTTTTTCTTTTATGCCAAAGTCATGATTCATTGTTGTTTACCATGAGACATTTTACTTTCAAAGATAAATCATCTAAATATATCATAAAAATATTGTTAATTCTTTTACTTTTGAGTTTTACCTCATTGGTGACTTCATCTACAACAAGTATTCATCTTTGGTGAACTTGATATTGATGCCTTTGTCACAAAGTTGGCTTATGCTTAGAATATTATGCTTTAGCCCTTCAATATAAAGTACATGTTCAATGGATGTGAAAGGTGGTGCACCAACTTTGCCAATGACAAGTGTTTTTCCCTTATTATTCTCTCCATAAGTGTTAAAACTCTTGGCCTTATGCACTAGATTTGAAAAATTGTTTATATCTCTCGTCATATACTTAGAATAACCACTATTGAGATACCATAGATTTATAGTGGTCTTCAAGCATGCCTATAAAAAATTAGGTTTGGTTAGGTACCCAATGTACTTTGGATCCTTCATAATTAGTTTCTTTCTTAACCCACACATAATGCCCACTTGCTATGCTAAATTTTCTTACATAGCAAGCATTAGGTGTATGGCCACTTATACCATAATAAAAATATTTAGGAACAAAATTACTTCTATATCTTGGAACGTAAGATTTCTTTTTAGGAAATCTCTTCTTAGTGCTATGATAAACCTTTTGTGTTTTATTCACTTTTCCTTATTGGATTGGTCACTTTCCTTTAAAAAGATCGTTTACTAGTACTTGGTTTGTTAGATATCGAATAACCAATACCACTTTTTATCATTTGAGTACCTTTGTTAACTAAGGACATTTTTTAATTCAACTTGTCCTTTTTCATATCTTTCAAGAACTCTTTTTAATTGAACAATTTGGAAAGAAAGTGATTCACACTCTTTGCATGTAAGATTTTGTTTTCCTTTTTCAAGAAAACTTTGTTTTTCAATTTCAAAATTATTTTCCATGGTTTCAATCTTTTCTTCAAGAGATACAATTTGTTTCGTTTGAGTTGACATGGTTTTATACAAAATCTTACATTCATTGAGAAGTTCTTCAATAGCACCTTGAACATCATTATCAAAAAGAGAGAATTCATTACTAACCTATTCATTTTTATCATCGAAATGGTGTGATGCCATCAATGCAAGATTTACACATCATTTTTTTCTGAATCAGATGATGAACTTACTTCATTATCATCCCATGCAATATAGGCTCTTCTAGACTTTGACTCCTTTCTTTTCTTAAAACTATTTTTCTTCAAGAGATTTAGACATTCCAGATTTATGTGTTCTTGTTTCCCACATTTGTAGCAAGTCACATTTTATGTTGATGTAGAGGCTTCTTTCTTGTTAAATATTTTCTTCTTTTTCACAAAATTAACATTTTCATTAATACCAAAAAATTTACCTAACCTTTTTACAGGAAGCATGACGTTCTCATCATCTTCCGAATTATCTCCTTTTTTTAATTTCCTTGGAGTTAACCTTTAATACAATAATTTTGAATTTTTTATTTTGGTTATCATGCTTTTCTAATCTTTCAAGTTTCGTCTCATATTCTTGAAGTTTTCCAAATAATGTTGCGGAAGTCATTATGGATAGACTTTTCTTTTCGGAGATTGTTGTAACTTTTGTTTTCCATTCCCTGGATAAAGATCTAAGCACTTTAATATC